TTTTTTTTTTTTTTTTGTCAGAGCCTGCATTTTTTAAGTCACACCTATACAGATAGGCCTTTTTTCTGCAGAATGAAAGGGGTGCTCTCAGCAAACCACCCAGCATTTCACCCTGCAGGAAACCCTCTGTAGCTGCAGCATCAAAGTCCGTTTATTTCTGCAGCTGCTGTCACGCACCAAGTGCTCCTGAGGCTGCTCTCAGCAGCTGGCTGAGCAGTACCCAAAGCGTGGCCAGCAGGGTACAGAACGACTGACCAGAAAGGGGAAAAGCAACCCAGCCCACCTCAGAGCCCCAAACTGGTGCTGCTGTTCTTCTGAGTTGCCAGGAATTTGTGTCAGTAAAAACCATTCTCTGGCTACAGCCACTGTTGCCAGAAACTCGTGGTGGAGATTACCTGCTTTAAGCTTATGTTCTGTCTGCAGAAAACTCTCCCAAGGGAGTTTTCATCCCAGTGAGGTAACTTGTTAGATGGAGTACACCAGGAACCCAGCTGATACATAAGACCAGTCAACTGAGCTTTTTGGAAGCACGTGGAGGATAATGGTGTGGTTTTATCTAGAACCACTCATGCCAAACTGATTTATGTGCCCTCTTTGTCAGGATATGTGGCTGAATGTTCAGGGGAGACTGCAAATGTGAGGTGTTAACACACCTCATCCTGAGCTGCATAAGATGATGATACTGTAGCAAAACATGACATGACTGAGGTTGTCTAAAGGGCATGCATCTAGCCGAAGAAAAATCTTACTGTTTCCCATAATGATTTTGTTCAGTGAGTTGCACTGAAATTGGGATGTTTCAAGTGGGATCCTGGGGGGATGTGTCCAAGGTCTGCTAAGAGCCAATATTTTCACTGAAGCCTAGAGAGGAACGGCTTTATGAATTCAGGTGATGCTAAGCACAGATGAGGCTCAGGGCTTGGGCTGTGAGAGTTCTGAGGAATTAAATTAGAATTGAAAATTCTGGGCTTGAAAAAGACCAGAAGTTGTCTGAAATCAGCAAACAGTGCTTCATGTGCTCCTCACAGACTTTTTGTGGTTTATAGAAAAAAAAGCAACTAGCAGGCTTTTGGCTATGTCACAGTAAGTCAGGAGGTACCCTGGAGTTATTGTGGACAAGCAGCAGGATGAATCACTAATACTAGTGCTCTTGCAGAAACAGCAAATCCTGTTTCAGCATGTGTGGTTTACAGAAGGTGTCAGAAAAAGTAAATTATTTCTCCCTGTGAAGCCTCAGTGATTGATTCAGCTTGCAGCACTTACTTTATGAACAGTGTGGGTAAACTTGGAAGAGTCTCCAGTGAAACAAGAAAAAACTGTGACTGGACATCTGAAAAGGAATCTACTTTGTCTAGAAAACAGTTTAAATGTATGTCAGCCTGAAAGACAGGCTATTAATAGAAGTCATAGTTCAACGGGCGGGCAAGAAATCTTGCTTACTTATAGGATATGTGGCAAAGCAGTGAAAGAGGAAATTATTAGACTTGCTCAAAAAAAGCCCAAACACCCAACTAAACATATTTCAAGCTGGTCTGTGTATTCTTGATCCTGTGGTAGCTTAGAGTGAGAAGGGGAACTGTGTGGCAGATAGGTTGGAGAACGTCCCTTCCAGGGTAGCAGTTTTGCATATTTCAGATTTCCTTTTATGGACCTTGCAGATTAAAATAGTGACATCGAGAAAAAGCAAGATAAGCACAGAAGATGAAGGGGCAAGACACAGTGAGAGACATAGCCTGGGGAGGATTATGGGGATGCTGTGGAAGCTCTAGCATGCTTGCCTGATGGAAAACTAAGCCAACCAGAACCGGTGCTAGACTGAGATCCCCTAAGCTGCCTGGAGCCGGAGTCCAGCCCTTTGCTGAGACAGAAGTCTGGCACCAGCTTTGCTTTCAGAGTACCCAGCCTGTGCACGTCACCTCCTGAGGTGGATGCTGCCTGGGAACAAGCAACGGTGTTCTTCAGTCTTCCTAGCAGTTATCCGATGGCAGCTCTTAGAGGTGATGCAGCACAAGCCGTTGGGTAGGGTCACAGTTAAGTCAGTGCATGGTGCGTAATAACAGGGTTTCCACCCTCTTCTCTGTTACAGACACTGGCAAAACTGGCCTGTGGGTTAAACAAGCCCAACCGCCAGACACTGGTGTCGGCACGATTTGTGCCGCAGCTCTTCAGCCAACTGCCCGTCAGCAGCATGTAAGTACTGGGGAACTGCCTGCTCTAGTGCAGCTTGGGGCTGTTCCTGGCCACCTCAGCACAGAGCAATTTGATGCTTACTGATAGCAGCCAGCAAAGGCTTTGAACTCCACAGTATGTGTTCTTCAATGCTCGCAGAAACAAATAGGGGGAATCCTGCCAGTAATCCCTCATGGCTGTAAATGACAGTTCAGAAGGAGTGTGCTTGGGAGTTGCAGCCCTGGTGGTGAAGCAACCACAATCCAGGAGCCCATTAGCAGCCTGTGGGCATCCTTTCCCTGGCTAGGACTGTGCTTAATGTGATTGCTGGGGTGCAAAAGTTTAAGCCAGGAGCAACTGGGGACAAGGAAGCCATAGCTGTTCCCCAGTGTGAATGACAGCCGTGCTCCCAGAGAGCAGACGTGGTTTGGTTTCGAGCATCCATTGTGCACAAATTAATTGTCCTGGTGTAAGGAAGCATTACCAGCACCACTTGCTCCAGAGAGGAATAGATCCCTAATCCTGCTTTCCAGACCTGCACCACTGTTTTCTGCCTTCAGTGTCTTGCTAGAGATGGAGGGGGCTGTGTCTGGGGAAGGGTCCTGTCTGTGTAGGAGGAAGCAGGGCACATGTCAGGCATTCTACAGAGCATTGTTTGGGATCACTTTTTGAAGACGGAGCCGAGGGAGAAGCACTAAAATAGGGTGAGCCAAGGAGCAATTCCTACCTCAATTCCTATATGTCCTTTTACTATGAGCAGAAGAGCTGTTAGGTGCCCAGAGTTCCCTTTTGTCCTGCTAGTTCTTGACTGCTTCTCGCTGTCCAGATCTAGGAACAGCTGCTGCAAGAAGACTGCTCATAGTCTCCGCAAGATGCTTCATTTGAGTTTTCTCTTCTTCTTCCTCTCTCTGCCGTAGCCGTAACCTTGGAGGCAAGCTTGGCACTGCTATCACAGACATCCTGGGAGTAGAGTACATCGGGCAGCTGACACAGTTCAATGAGGCTGAACTCCAGACTCACTTTGGAGACAAAACTGGGTAATGATAAACCACTCACCACAACTTGGCAGGAGCTGAGACTTCCTTTCGGTCACAGGTGGTTCTGCTGTTATTAGGAAGGTTGGAAGGTAAATCTTCAGTGACACCTCTGAGAAGCACTGGTCTGGCAGGCCCATAATGGATTTCCAGTCTCACTTCTCCCAGGCACCCTCCCCAGGATAATGTTTTGCCTGTCAGCCA